TCATCGAACCGACACAATCATTTCCCTATCCCTAACGAAGAGTTTAGTTTGTCATGATTTTATTGACACAAATAATAAGAATAATCCAAGCTATCGTTTTACTCATAAAAACTTTCAATCGATAACTTACGATTACGATTAAAACTTGACGTCAATATATCACTTAGAACTTTTAGGGAAATGAAAATAAACAACTTACAAGATTAAAACCGAGCTTGCATGCAAAGATCAAACTTGAAAAATATCAAAAACAAAAAGAACACTCTTAAAAATATTACAAAGAAAAGAGAAGGTTATAGCTAAGAAAAAGTGAAGTTGTCCAATAAGTGAAAGAGAAGAGAGTATTTATAGGAAGAAAAATAGAAAACTTGTAATATAAGAAAAGAAAAATGTGGGAAAGAAGATAGAAAAAATGGGAAAGAAAATATGTAAGAAAATGTGAAAGAAGATAGGAAATTTGAGAGAAAAGTTGGAACTTTTAGACAAAATCCGAGAGTGATTTTTCCGCGCACATTCGCGCACGTCTCGGGTGGCTCTGCTTCTCGGGATCGTTTTGGGCTCGTCCGAACTTGGAATTGAGTTCCGTTTTTTTCGACGCATTGCTAACGAACCCCTCTATTCAATGATGTATGCCAATACAAATTTCTCACAGAATACAATTATCTAAGTACTTTTAACTTCCAAGGTATCGGCAACTCTCTCGATTTTACGCTTCGGTCCCGTACGAACTCATCCGAACTCGAAATCGAGTTCCGCTTTTTCCTGTGTGTAGCTAACGAACTCCTCTTTCCATTAATGTGATCATGCCCAATAAATTCCCAAAATCCTGCTCTTCCAAGATTTTTGACCGTTTCTTTATTTTACAAATACTCGAAAAATATACAAAAATCCACACAAATACTTAACTATTACAAATCACTAAAAAAAACTAAAAACTACCCAAAATCCCACAAAATTACTAAAAATACATAAAAATAATAATAAAGAATATTAATAAAAACATAACAAAAATAACACTAACAAATGCTCCAACTCGGAGGTGGGAGGTGGGACTTGAGAATCAAGCCTGTGGGACTCCTCCTCTGAAATATCATCAACGTCTCGCGGGAGCTCATCATCCTCTTCTTCGTCCTCACACATTTGCTTCGTCATAGGGGATTGAGTATCAAGCATAGGGGGTCATCGTCTTGTGCCTCGATTGAGTCGATATGTGTTGTAAAGATCTCCATTTTCGTGCTCAATCTAGCATATCCGAGCTCAATGTCCATATCTCGAGTGGTCAGGGCAGATATGCGAGCAAGAATGAGGTCGAGCTTTTCATCATATGACAAAACAGCCTCCCAAGATTCATCTCTATGTGTAGACTTGCCTTGGGCGGTGGGCTTGGAAGCGACATCATTAACTTGATCCTCTAAGGCTTGCACGCGCTCCACAAGGTTCTCGATTCTGGACTCAACATTGCTCCTACGGGCCGCTTGAGAGGCTAAAAGAGCGAGGACCTGGTCGAGCTTGGCATTGTACTCTAAAGAGTCCTCGAGGGATTCATATGAGTGCTCGACAGGCCAGGAATCCCACTGCTGCTTGTTTGTCCCATTTTTGTTATCTTTTTCTTTGCTTATTTGTTAGTTTTTACCTCGGTTTTAGTATCTTTTTTGTTCTTTTGGTCCACCAGTCGTTCGTGTCGTTTATTTCACTTTTTCGATATTTTATGTTGTTTTTCTTGTTTTTGCATGTTTTTCTCGTCTTTGGTGGTGTGTAGGTTCCGAATTTTCATCGCACGTTTGGAGGAGGAGTAACCGAGCAGTGTCCCTTTCCAGCCGTCGCGCCGCGAGGATGCCCCGTCATGGACAGAACCTCAGAATGTAGACACCAACGCCGTGTCGAGCTCCGCGCCGCGGCAGATCCCAAGCCCCGCACCGCGGCAGCACCACGTTTTGGACAGAGGGACCTTTTTCTGGCTCCGAGCCGCGGCAGGCGTCGCGCCACGCCGAAACTCCCACACCACGCGGCGCCAGCACCGCAAGATCGACAACAGCATCGTGAGCCTCCAGGCGTCGCGTCGCGGCGACTCCATCAGCCACGCCGTGTCCATGTCGCGAGACTCCAGCGCCGGGAAGCCCAAAACCCAGAACCAATATTTTACGTGTTTTTTATTTCGGAATAAAAAGATATCGATCCTAGGGCATAAAAAAGGATTCCGCACTTTGTTATTTTCAATTCTCTATCGACCAACACATATTTTTTCTCTCTTATTTTCTTTTCTTTCACTTAGATTAAATCTTGTAAGGTGAAAAACCTCAAGATATTGCTTTTGGGATTTGGATTGCTCATCGTTTTCGACATTTGGATCTCTTAATTAATCGTAAGCACTTTTTCTAGTTTTGTTATGATGTTTTGTGCTTGGATTGTTATGAATTTTTGTGTTCAAATTACTATGAGTAGCTAAATCATTTGTTGGGGGATAGGAGATATTCGTGTTGGTTCGATTGTGTTTCATGAATGCTTGCTTACCGTTCAATCTATTCGAGTTGTTCTTATTCTAGGGTTAGATGCTTGATCATCATTCTAATCTAATTAATCAATTTGTTCTCTTGTTACGAACAGTTATTGAGAACGAACCTCTAAACGAGTATGTTATTTGATCTCCTAACCGAGCGGTTAAGCACTTATTAATTGTGTTAGGACCATACACGAGTATCTTCGATTCCCTAACTTCCCCCAACCTCATTTGAATTTCGTTTGGAATTGATAATTCATTTGGTTTAAAATTTAGAATTCGTAGTTGATAATCAAAATCCAACAATTTGAATTAGAGTGTTTAGGACTTGTTTCTTATTTCTTGTATTTGAATAATCGTGCAATTTATTCCGGCTGACCTTCCTTGAGATACGACCCGGTGTTCGAATCATTCGATTCTACTCCGGTAAAAAATATTTACAACAAATTGGCGCCGTTGTCGGGGAAGGTTTAGGACGTATTTTGTTCGCCTATTCATTTTATTTTCAGTGTTTCTCTTGTTTTCGTGATTTCTTGATTTTTGTGTTTCTTTTGTTTGATTTCTTTGTTTAGTTGTAATGATTTTCTTTGATTTGTTTTTCCTTGTTCTTTCTCTTGTCTATCTGGTGCCCGTGACGTTTTGTTATTTGTGTTTATGCGTACCAAGAGTGGTCATATAATCATCCCAAACAACGAATCCATCCAGCAAGACCTACGAGACTTGTTAGCTAGTCTTGCACCAGCATCATCTGCATCAGAAAGCCAAACCGACATGGCACAGAACGAGCAAGATGAGGAAGTTAATAATTTTCCTAGGTCTCTTCTTCGCGATTTGGCTCAACCGGTGATTGGGTCAGTGACTTCTTGCATCCGGCTGGGGACAGCAGCTCGGAACTACGAGCTCAAAACCATCCACTACAACCAACTCCATCTTTCCATGGCCTAATGAAGACCCGCTCTATTTCATACGGCAGTTCTATAATGTGCTCCAAACCTTTCCACTCCACGGGCTGAATGAGGATCAATTGAAGATGAGATGCTTCCCGGAGACTCTCAAGGACCGGGCTAAGGCTTGGTTTATGACACTTGCTCCAGATTCTCTTAGCACTTGGGAGCAAGTGTACTGAAAGTTCATCGGGAGGTATTACTCCTACCAAAAGACTCAAGAGCTGCGGTCACAAATCGTCTCTTTTGCCCAACAACCGCACGAGCCACTTCACGAGGCGTGGGAACGCTTCACGAACCTACAGAGACAGTGTCCACACCATAACTTCCCACTGGCACTTTTGATGAACAACTTCTATGATTCTCTCCACCAGAACCTTCAGTACATGGTGGATAACGCAGCTGGTAGAGATATTGGGGCAAGAACGGCAGAAGAGATGATGGATATCTTTGAGGCGATAAGTTCCAATTCATCTCAAAAGAGCAGCCGAGGGAAGAGAGCCATGGTCAATGAGGTTTCTTCTGAACGAGACATGATGGCCCATCAGATAGCCGAGCTTACAGAGCAAATGCGGCTACTAAATGCTCAAGGAATGCAACCAGTGCAGACCATGGCAGTGGATTCATGCGGCGCGTATGGAGCACAAGGGCACAGGTCAGAGGTGTGCCCATCAACATTCGATCAGGACCTCAGAGAGCAATATGCCGACGCCAATGCTCTTCAAGGATATCAGAACCGGCAACCCAACAACCTCTTCTCCAACACGTACAACTCCGGATGGAGAAACCACCCACACTTCTTGTGGTCCAACAACAACAACACCCTCCAGCCACCTCGTTCGATCTTCACCCAACAGTAACCCCGTCCAAACTTCATGCAACAGCAACCCCGTCCCAACTTCATTCCCCGTCCGAACTACCAACAACAACAGCAACCGCAACAGAAAACCCAAGGGCCCGAATCGAGCTCGTCGAACCAAGATGACAAGTTGGACAAGATCCTTCAGTTTATCACGAACCAGGACTCATCGATTAAGCGTCTCGAGATGTAAGTGGGCCAGCTTGCCACGAGAGTTAGGAACATGGAGGCCGAGTCAGACAAAAAAAACTTTTGAGCCAGCCCGAACAAGCCAAGGCAATAACAGTGTTGAGGAGCGGGAAGGAAGTGGACAACAAAGTACAAATGCCCGAGCCCGATGACCTTAAGCCAACCGACCAGCCCAAGGAAATAGAGAAACACATCGAGGAGAGCACAAAAGCCGATTCAGGAAAATCGACAGAGGGTTCATTGCTTCACAAGTCCCCAAACCCATACAAGCCACGCATCCCTTTTCCGAGTAGACTCTGAGACGAGAAGTAGAAACAACAATTTCGATATCTCTACAACATGCTTTCGAAGGTCAACGTGAACTTGCCTCTCTGAGATGTGATCAAGAATATGCCGTCGTATGTGAAGTTCATCAAGGACTTGGTCACCAAGAAGAGGAAGTTCGGCGATGGGGAGAAAGTGGTGGTCTATGAGGCGGCAAGTGCCATGGAGCATGATCTTCCAAAGAAAGACGAGACCCTGGGGGTTTCGTGATAAAGATTGCTCTCGAGAATGGGAAAGAAGCTTCGGGGATGCTCGACCTCGGAGCGAGAATCAATCTTATGCCGTTTTCTATCTTCCAGCGGCTAGGTCTAGGAGATTTGAGACCAACCCGTATGTGCCTTCAGCTTGCTGACCGTTCCATTCGATACCCCAAGGGGGTGGAGGAAGATGTTCTTGTTCGCGTGGGAAAGCTTATTGTTCCGGTGGACTTTCTGGTACTAGATGTGGGGGACGTACATGAGAACGGGAAAGACCACACCATCCTTCTTGGCAGACCATTCATGGCCACCACCAACACACTCATTGACGTGAAGAATGGGACATTGAACATGACAGTCCTAGGAGAGTCCGTGTCCATTTCTGTCCGAGAAGCTACCTCAGCATCCTCGGTGAACTTTGTGGAGGAGTGTGCCTTTGTTGATGTGAGTGACTCGTTTGTAGGAGAGATGACCATACAAGACTTGGAGGAGAGGTCAATGCCCAACCTCAACGATGAAGAAGAACCGACCATTGAGCTATTTGCAGCCGACGAGCCCGACAAACCAATCCTAGAGCTTAAAGAACTTCCCCGCCACCTTAAGTACGTTTTCCTCGACGATGAGGAGCAAAAACCGGTTATCATCTTTGTCGAGCTCAATCAAGAAGAAGAGAAGGAGCTAATCGAGGTGCTTAAGAAGAATAAAAAAAGCCATCGGTTGGAGCCTGGGTGACATAAAGGGGATCAACCCTTCCACTTGCATGCACCAGATCATTTTGGAGGAGGGTGCCAAGCCATTTCAGGATAGCCAGCGACGGCTCAACCCGAACATGATGGAGGTGGTGAAAAAGGAAGTGTTGAAGCTCTACTCCGAGGGGCTCATTTATCCAGTGGCTGATAGCGAGTGGGTTAGCCCGATCCATGTGGTGCCTAAGAAAGGGGGCATCACCGTCATCGAGAATGAGAAGAAAGAGATGGTCCCCACCCGAACCACTACCGGGTGGAGGATGTGTATTGACTACCGGCGGCTCAACGCTGTGACCAAGAAGGACCACTTCCCGTTGCCGTTTATCGATCAGATTCTCGACCGACTCCCGGGCCACCAATTCTACTGTTTCCTAGACGGACTCTCGGGCTACTACCAAGTGGCCATAGCTCTGGAGGATTAGCCCAAGACAACCTTCACGTGCCCATTCGGCACATTTGCTTTCAGACAGATGCCTTTCGGCCTATGCAATGCACCCGGGACCTTCCAATGGTGCATGTTCTCCATCTTTTCTGATATGCTCGAGGACTTCTTACAGGTATTTATGGATGACTTTTCAATCTTTGGTACCTCTTTTTCTGATTGCTTGCAGAACTTATCTCGTGTTCTTGAAAGATGCATTGAGTCGAACTTGACCTTGAGTTGGGAGAAAAGTCACTTTATGGTGACTAGTGGAGTTGTGTTAGGCCATGTAGTGTCCTGTCGGGGGATTGAGGTCGACAAAGCTAAAATTGATGTGATTGAAAAACTTCTCTCTCCAGTGAATGTGAAAGGTGTTAGGAGTTTCTTAGGACATGCTGGGTTTTATAGGCGATTTATTAAAGATTTTTCGAAAATCAGCCAACCTTTGTGTCACTTGCTTGCCAATGATGTGCCATTCGTGTTTGATAATGCATGTGTTGATGCCTTTGATAAATTGAAAAATAAGCTTGTGACTGCTCCTATTGTGATTGCACCTGATTGGTCTTTGCCTTTTGAGATTATGTGTGATGCATCGAACCTTGCTGTTGGGGCCGTCTTTGGCCAACGAGTTGATAAGTTACTTCGAATAATTTATTATGCTTGTTTGACCTTAAAAGGTGCTCAATTGAACTACACCACTACGAAAAAGAACTTTTAGCTGTTGTGTTTTCTCTTGAAAAATTTAGATCCTACATTTTGGGGTCTAAGGTGATTGTACATTCTGATCATGCAGCCCTTAGGTATCTTTTGAGTAAAACTCAATCGAAACCTAGGCTTATTCGGTGGATTCTTCTTTTGCAAGAGTTTGATGTAGGGATTAGAGATAGGAAACGGTGTGAAAATGTTGTAGCTGATCACTTGTCTCGCATTGTTCCCTCTAAACCTTCACTTGCATTGAATGAGCATGTAGGCATAAATGATGATTTTCCATATGAGCATGCGAGTGAAGTGACTAGTGTTCCTTGGTATGCAGACATAGTGAACTATTTGTCAGATGGTGTTTTGTTGGCTAACCTCTCTTCCCATTCCTTTTCAAGATGGGGAAGGATGATATTCTTCGGAGGTGTGTGCCCGAAGAAGAGCAATTGGATGTCCTTACCTTTTGCCACGAGCTTCATTGTGGAGGACATTTTGGAGGTCGAAAGACCGCCTTTAAGGTTCTCCAGTCAGGTTTATTCTGGCCTACACTTTTTAAAGATGCTTATAACTTTTGCAAGTCTTGTGACCGTTGTCAAAGAATTGAGAATATTTGCCCAAGGAATGAAATGCCCCTTGTGAATAATTTGCAAGTTGAAATCTTTGATGTATGGGGCATTGATTTCATGGGACCATTTCCCAAATCTTTTGGCTTTGAATACATTCTTCTCGCCGTAGATTACGTGTCCAAGTGGGTTGAGGCTATCCCCACAAGGACATGTGATGCTAAAGTGGTCATCAAGTTTTTGCAGGGCAATATGATTTCCTAGAGCTATTGTGAGTGATGGAGGGAAGCATTTTTGCAACCGTGTCTTTGAGAAGCTAATGAAGAAGTACGGAATTTCTCATAAGGTGGCCACCTCTTATCATCCTCAGACTTCGGGCCAGGCAGAAACTAGCAACAAGCAAATCAAGACCATTCTTGAGAAGACGGTGAACTCGTCCAGAAAAGATTGGTCTAGCCGCCTTGATGATGCACTTTGGGCTCAAAGGACAGCATTCAAAGGAGTTTTGGGGATGACCCCGTTCCGGCTTGTCTATGGAAAGGCGTGCCACCTTCCAGTCAAGATCAAGCACAAGGCATTTTGGGCGATTAAACGGATGAGTTTTGATCTTGATGCCGTCGGACGGGAGAGGATTTTGCAACTTTCTGAACTTTAGGAGTTGAGAAATGAGGCATACGACAACTCCAAAATTTACAAAGACAAGGTCAAAAAGCTTCACGACTCGACCATTGCCCGGAGGAACCTCGAGCCCGGTATGAAGGTACTTCTCTTCAATTCTCGACTTTGACTTTTTCTGAGAAAACTTAAGTCTCGTTGGAGCGGCCCGTACCTTATTGATGAGGTGCTATCTTTCGGAGCTGTCCGACTCCGAAATCCGGCAAATGGAGAGTTGTTCGTTGTGAATGGACAAAGAGTAAAATCATATTTCGAATGAGAGTTTGGAAAGCACCATGTCGAGACCCTCAGTCTCGGCGAACCCTTGTATCCTTGATCGAAAATTGTGCCGAGCTCCCGGCGATAAACCGAGCAATTATTTGTACTATTTGTGTATATATATATATTTCCTAATTCATTTAAAAAAAGATGGAAATCGTGTGCAGGTCCCAGGCATCACGCCGTGGAGCCATCACGACTTGGACAGAGGGAACATATTTTCACGTCGCGCCGCGGCAATCTCCGTGCCGCAGCAACGCAATACTCCCCACCGCGAAATTACCACGTAATGGACAGAGGAGCACTTAATTCGCGTCGCGCCGCGGCATGCTCCGCGACAGCAACAGAGAAGTTGGCCCTTTCATCTCGCCACGCCGCGGCAGGCGTCGCACCGCAGTGCCCATATGATATAAATAGGTGGCGTGAGTACGACTTCAGAATTACTGCGCTTTCAAAACAGAAATTGCTCTCACGACCCAAAAACCCTCGCACCCATCGTTCTCGACTTTCACCGCAAACACTCCAGCCATCATTCCGACCTCCGACCTCAGACCAACAACCGCCGGCCCTCCACCATCGGCGACCCTCCGTCAGCGGCGATTTAATCCTCCTCCTCCGGCCAACTAGTTCTCCCACAGAAATCTACCCTAAGGAGCACTAGAATTATAAATTTTCCAGCAAAGTTCTTCTACTCGGTCTTCTATTTTCAAGGTACGAGGAGTAAATTAATCTTGTTGGAAAGCTGATTGAGGTGTTGAGATTGTACATTACCTCTTTTGAATTCGTCTCAAGCCTCTTAAGCAAACTTCTTGCTCACCAAGTGTTTGATAGATTGCCTCAACGGGCAAAGAAGCAAGTTGAGTTGAATTTCTCTCTTCTGACCATCGTATCAAGCATCACGAATGGCGAGAACAAGGAATGGACAAACGGTTTTTTCTAAGGACAAAGGCAAAGCCGTCATGGCTACTCCGCCCGAGTCCTCGAAAAACTCAGATTCTAACTCGGGCTCTAGCTCACACCACTCGGACTCTAACGCGGGAAATGAGACTCGTACTCTGGCCCAAATCCATGGTATCCTATTTCCGGTTTTCAATGACTCGGAGGTAGCCACGTACAAGCGCCTTGCCGCACGAACTATACCGCATCCCTGAGTTCTCGACTGGAATATGCTAAAGGCCCTTAACATCGAAGAAGAAGTCCGGAAGTACTTGAAAGCCCTACACTTGGAGCAATATACGGAACTCCATAATCTCACTTCCTTATTGACTCTCACCCTCGAGTGTTTCAGCACGATTGAGATGCATGATAACGGCAATTACCTCACTTGTCATTTGAATGGGCAAGAGGTCAAGATTACGGATAAGGTACTTAGACAGATATATGGTTTGAAGGTAATGGGTGCTCGCCAGAAACCCGGAAAGTCCCTGGCCAACAAGAAGTGGGCCGACTTATCACCGTGCAAAACTTTCAACAGGAAGGGACCATTGGCTGGTGTAATCAAGGAATTTCCCACCGCGGTTATGCATAAGTTCTTTTCTTCCAACATCTTTGAGAAGAAGGAAGCGAATAAAGTGAGCGAACAGGAGGTGTTCGTGATGTAGAACATATGCAACAAGAAATCGGTGTTTCTTCTCCCATTCCTCAAACATGCTCTTATGAACACACGCCGAAATACGTTGAGATTCCCTACATTGGGGCATGTCGTGGTGGATATCGCTCATCATTTCAAAATTTCAGTTCCTACTGAGGAAGGCCTCGGTCCTTTGGCCATCAGTTACGTCGAACTCAGGGCTGGGGGTTTTCTGGACAAGAGGTCTCAGATCATGCACTATACCGAACGTAAATGCTATGACACTTATATGAAGGAGGTGAAGCGATTGGCACAGGAAGCAGCTTTGTCGAAACAAGCCATAAGAGGCCCTTCTCAACAAGTGGTAGATGAGCATGAGGAGCCGGTCGACCATGCCTCGGGTGATGAGGAAGAGCCCGCCCAGATGGATTATCAGCAAGCCCCTGCGTGGTTCGTTCAGTACCAGAAACAACAAGCTGAGTATCAGGCCCGACAAGAGGTGCACAACGCGAGAGTGGAGGCC